AGAAGTGCAAAGATGAAAAATGGGAATTTTCATGAATGAATTTGTCCGAGAATTAATGATTAATATTTTTATCCTGCGTAATAATTCCTTGTTGCGTAAAATAACAAAATTTTTAATAACATTATGTAATTTATATAAAATTCGATATTACATCGAATACTTAAGAAATGTGTTTAATATACAGCAAAAGCTATTTATACATTCCATCACTAGTACACATTACATATCGTGAGATTGCTGAAACGAAATCAGTCCGTCAATAAGAAAACTACAATCAACTTATATAATGCCAATGTTTAAATGTTCGGAATTTCTAATAACGGTAAAACATACGATATTTGTCATTCCGTTTGCACTTTCTGTTGATAAACGGAAACAGAATTTATTTGCAACGAGATACTTGGTCGTTGACTCAGAGGAGTTTCTCCGTATCGAGGAAAAAAATTTCGGTCGTAAGTACGCGCCGTTAAGATTATATCGGTACGCAAACTGCGAGAGTCATCTCAAGAGCGAGTTTACCGTGAGATGCGATTGATGCCGTAACTCGCCGTGAGAGAAGTGCCCCGGGATGAACGAGACGAGCTGATTATGCAAGCGCACGGGCTGCCTCGGCGGAGCAAGCCGGTCAATGCCAAGGTGTTCCACTTCGAGTGCTACTCTTCCCTGTCATTCCGACGGAACCGATCTCGCTGACTTCTGAGCTATGAGGTCGGGGGATTCACCTCACGTGATGCGCATGATGAACTGTCATATTACACGACGAATATTACATGACATAGCGAAATCGGACATGTTTTCCGTTGCAATAGGTTAATCCCCGCGTGTGAGTAGACGATTAAATTAGAAATGCAATGATAGCATATAAATATATGTAAGAATATTAGATGTATAAATAATAATAAATTTATATATAATTATATATTTGTATATTATATATAAATATATAATTATTATAATTATATTTAATTTATATATGTCCATAATAATAAAGACGAGAATAAAGAATGCTCACAGAGAGAAAAAATTTACTATAAACACAAAAGGCATTATAAAATTTAATTGTCAAATTTATTTGCTGCTTACAGCAAACAAATTTGCATATTTGACAAATATTTTGCATTTGTTGCAAATAATTTTTATAGCGAGTACGAAAAGAATAAATATCTGTTACACCTGCAAATAATTTGCGATCCTTACATGTGCGAATAAATTTGCTGCATAAGATTAGTGATCAAAGCCAATTTTTTCTTTCTGTGCTATTAATATTATATTATACATGTAAATGAATCTACAGATATTTTTGCTGAAAATATTTAATAATATATTCAATAATAATTTAACAATTTCAACAATTTAATCATTTCTATTAAAATTACTGCAATTGGTTGTTAAAACGAGACACGGAAGAGAAATTAATTTCACCTTTCATACATTCGTGCTACGTGTGCTCAATAAAAGAAAAATAACATTAGAGATGTCAAAAATTTATACATGCTAAATTGCCCTAGGGATATAGGAAAGCATGCATGTAAAATATATACAACAGAAAGCAATGTTTCAAATGTGTTAATTTAATTCACGAGTACTCGTAGCCTGAAGCGGTGCATTAATATATAGCATCAAGTGCAGCGTGCCAATCGAGTGTCTAAGTAAAGCGGATATTCCGACTTATCTTTGCATCTGAAAGCGATAGGGATAATTTCCTATAACACCAGGACACCTCACGCATTCATGTTTTAGCTTTCTCTTGTTTTATCGCTCTTACGCAAACATGCAGATCCGTAAGAAATGTAACAAATTATATGTTCGAAAATAATGTACTATAACAACGCGGCAGAGCTTGAGTTTAACATCGAAAATAGAGTGGTTATAAATTGTTAATTAACGGTTGTTAAATAAAGATGCGCTCGAGCGAGAGATGCATCGCGGCCAGGATACCGTTTACAGTAGATTATCGAGTTCCTGTGACCGATGATGTGACCGGCCACTTTCGAGTGTATGTACCCCAAAGTTTCTACACGCAGCTGTAAAATCGTTACGACGCGCCGAAAGTCAAGCCGCAGCGTCGAGGAATTAATGCTGCTCAGCGAGCACAACGCGAAACAAAAAAGGAAAGTAGTTGAAAGCGTAAATTCAATTGGATAACGGTAGATCTCTTACGTGGTGTCTGGCGTGTCCATGTACACCAGTAATTGTATGACTTTACAGTACTTGCTCGGCAGGATAAGCGAACTAGGAATCACAAAAATCGATAAGGTTTTTCAACTAATTAAACTCTCAAAATATCAAAATAATACGATCTATACATTCCCAATAATACAAATAGATATTCTCCAGCTAAAATGGTACCATAACTGCTAATCACATACGCAAAAAAATATTTTGCTACTTCAGCTAGAATTATAACTGTTTTTTGTATCTGACAGAAAATTATGTATCTTACGCATAGAATTTATAACACAAATCTAAATTCTATCTCTGTCACCTGTATGATTAGATGCAATACATATCCAATATCACAGTACTTGCTAAAAATTTATCAATTTTAGTTATTTTTTGTACTTGAATCATTTTTGTTATAACTGCAAGATCACTTTTTTAGTGTGTTACAATTGCGATACACGATTGATAAAACGAACGGTATCAATCTGATGAATCAACTAAACTCTCAAAATATTAAAATAATACGATCTATATATTCCCAACAACAATATACAAATAGATACTCTCCAACTAAAATGGTACTATAACTGCTAATCACGTTACAATTGCGTTACACGATCGACAAAACGAACGATATCAATCTGATGAATCAACGTGAGGCTGTTTTGCAAAGATCTCGTTCCGCCAGACTAGCCTTTCACTCTCGCGGAACTAGTGCGATGGCTCAATGCCGTTTTATCTTAACCGTGGGACGCCTTTGATGGCCCAGATTCAAGGTCAACTTCCGTTATATTTCGGGATATCGGTGTGGCCGAGAAATTACTTTCGAACTGATTTAACTTGCATATGCTGATGCTATCAGCAACGATAAATACAAAACATTTTAACGAGAATAATCAATATATTGTAATGTGAAAGCAGATATGCGAAGTACACAAGAAAAGGGTGGTAATAATAATTAAACTTAGATGATAGTTACTGAAGCTTGGTAAAATAATTTCAATTAAATGTTCATTTAATATAACTAAAACTAATTAGATTGATCTAATTTTTCTAATTATTACCAAACACACGGTTGGTTACTATTATTATATTTGGTACTAAAAAATTCACCAACACGCTGAACAAAATACATTTGGTAGCTATTACTAGACTTTTTTTGGTATAATATTAAATTAAAACGCAGTGAATACGTAAATTGTGACAAATATAATGATAATGATACGGTAAATTTTATAGGTTAAAAAAGGGGTTTCTATAAGGGGGGTTTCTTCGAGTTTCCAAGTAAAGCTCTACAAGAATCATAATTGTTACGCCACGTCTATCTTGAAACTAGTTTCCGACTTTTTCCAATTTGGCAAGTGAGATCGAAGCGATCTGCTGTCGGTCGTAACGGCAAAGTCTAGTCTTGAACGTTTTCTAGAGCAGACCTCGGTGTAACGAGGCAACGTAACGGCACCTGCCAGCGGGAATCGCGGCTATCTTGCATCACGCCTCGAAAAATCCTTCGACTTTCGTCTTACGGAACAGACCACTTCCATTTTGGCGACGTTTACGGCCGGTCTATTTTGCAATATATATCTCAATCGTTACGCGCTTTGTGGGAATTGTACAAAATGCACGGGACAAAGGAACGAGATTATTCGAGTTCTCACAACTCGAGCAGTCAACAAAGCTCGCACATTAATAGCTCGGATCGGACGTCAGCTTCGGGCGTCAAAAGTCAACGAAACCATTCAAGATCGCAATTTCGGCAAATGAGAACTGTCCATTCAACAAACTCTGTTAGGCGAGACTCGCGTGTTGCGCAGACAGCAAAAATGGACAGCGAAGTATCGGCTTGATTTATGAGTAGTTTATTGCTGTGCACAAAAAGGTTTTGTTACCGGATGGTTAAGCAATCGCTCGGATAATCCGAGTAAATGCGCGGCGTGATTCTTTCGTCGTTCGTCACGTGAGTATCGCCCTGAAAAGTAAGCAAAATCAGACCAGTCCCGATTGTCGACAGAAAGTGAAAGGCGCCGCGACATTACGCGCTCATTGTACCTCTTTCCGAAGTTACGTGTCCTCGTGCGAGGACTGTCGCGCATAAAACACCCCCGAGTAATCAGCGACGCTGAAATAATGCCAGACACGAAGCAACGATCTAATTACGATCGTTAATCGTACGAACCAGCCGCGACTTCCTCCTTTCCACCGGCGCGGTACCGCTACCACTTGGAAACGACTCCACCTTCCCCGACAAACGTCCTTGGCGGGTCCGGTAGAGGGAGAGGGTGATGAAAATCCGCCAGTCACGTGTACCATGCCGGTTCGAGCGGTTGTATCGCGGTTCCGTCGAGGCCCGCGACGCGTTTCTCCAATCTCCATCGATAAAAATACCGAAAATACTACGACCATTTATCAACGCATAAAATCAACCAACGTATACTTCGCTAAACGTTAAATGGAGGATACGCACTTGAACGTGAGAAAATCACCTTATGTGATTTACCTGCAACATCGGGATCGCGCGTAGCGATCGAGAACCGGTCCTGTCAGTAAAACGCAAATCGAGAGGTGCGATTTTCTTATAAAGTAGAACACATCAATCGTTCATAGTGTTGTGGGTAGTGTCGGTTAAATGTCGGAAAGTGAGTATGCTAAGTTGTAGAGTAAGCCCGTTGGTGAGTGCACAATGGAGATATCCGCGGCCGATCTGACTTATCGAAGCGCGACGGAGAACGCAAAGATGATTTCACAAAGAAAATTCATATCGCAACTTACATGCGTGAAATTTGCGTTTGCTGTTTGAGCTTCTAATTTAATTGAAAATATAATCTGAGTATTTTGAAGTGTGTGTACTAAGAATTAATGATGGTTCTTACAGAACAGTTTGACGATTGATGATGATTTTAACGAGTGCTTATTGACAATTAATGGCGATTTTTACGGAATAATTGGTGATTATAAGACTCGTGACAACGGAGATATTACAAACGTAGATACGTGCAGTACTCGTGATAAATCGCGCGGTGTATCCTCAGGTGTTAAGGGCGTGTTGATGACTTCGAGCACGTGCATCAGTGATCGAGTGTTACATTGATTCTTCTTGCGCGCGGATAAACGTCGGTGTTCCGTCACGTAGCACGCGTAGATTAAGTAGTTACTTGCGCGGAGAAATCGAGTGCACTCACGTAAGGCGTTTTATGTCTCCATCGTCGGACTGGTCACCTTGCAGGTTTTCCGAAGAAGCGCATTATCGCATGTGGCGGTTAAATTACAGCAATTCAGCGACATACCAGAAATCCTAGTAAAGTTTGTCATACCGTTCCGGATGTACAAAGAAAGGTATACTTTAATATCGCATTCATTAAACGTAATTTGGAAATCACAGGAAAATCGTCTGTGGGCTGAAATGTTAAAATGTATTTTAAAAAGCTATGGCAATCGTGAAGATTGAAATAGAAAAACATTGCGTGGACAGAACGGTTTTAGTGGAGTATCTAAAAATTTAGATAGATACAGATCTAAAAATAATTTTGTTCGATCATCAAATTATTATATAGAATGTCTTAATGTTGACGACAATATTGCAAAAGTTTTAACAATCAGTTTTACATAATTATTTTAATAATTCAACAAAATTATTTTCAGATCTGTATCCATACTTAAATTTTTAGATACTTCAGCAAAACAGTTCTTTCCGAGTGATAAACACGATTGATACTCAAATTCGTGGTATTGATATTCGATTATGCAATTTATGATTTTATTATGTACGCGATATTTCAATAGAAATTGTATACTGCTTGCATCATGTTATTTATATAACGCGACTTTCTATTTATAGTGACAGTAAAGTGAGCAATTAATGTATCAAAATAAGTGTAGGACGCATCCTTGGATCACGGATAAACGAAACGAAGGAAGCTAGGAGCTTTCAAAAAAAATATTGAAGAGATAGGCGAAGTGCGACGTCCGCGGGCCTGTCGGAAGCGTATTATCGTGTTGCTTGCGCTGGCGTTACTTCCGCAAACTTACACGAGCCGCGCGTTGCAGCAACACGCTCTTGCGATGGTTAATGCATCGGCGTATATCTACAGGAAACCTACCTACGTTGTTCGCACCGGTTCGTTACTCAGTCGCGAGTCATTACGAGTCGGCTGGTACTCCAGTGACCCGTGAATGTTTGTCGAACGTTCACCGGTCTATTCGCCAGGGAAAGGCGTGGCAGCCCCCCTCAATATCGCATTCTCGGTATCACCGCAATCCCGAGTGGTGGAATTAACGAATTCTCCGAATGTACGAGCATAGGTCTCGAGAGATCAACTACCGATACGTAGAAGATTGGCGATTCGCGAAAATTGTTCTTGTCTCACGATACTCACGCTGAAATGTTAAAATGTCATTCCGGGAGATGGAATCATTCGATATTTACGTTTTTTTTTTTTTTTAATATTCGCTTCCTTCTTTTCATATTCTCTCAAACACTACGACTATTCATAAAACCGAACACAGTTGAAAATACTTCAGAAATTTACTGCGGCACAATTTGTAAAATGGTAATAGGAGCAAGAACCATTAGTAGCGTATTTCTGTTACCGCAAGACTAAATTGCGGGGCAGCAATGGGTCTGGCTAGGATGCGAATAAACATACGCTTTGTTCGTGACTTAGTACTTAATTGGCGTCATTGCGCAATTAGATCCTTGACATACGCTGGAAACCGCGTGCTACGTCTACCGACGTCTATGAATGTAATTCCGGTCATTGTGAATAATAAACTGTTTTATATACTGCGCAACGTAACATCTTTTACTGACCTATTAAACGCAGAAATTATTTCACGCAGCGTGAAAAATAAAGCGTACGATTTAATTACAGTTCCTACAGGTACATAGAAAATTGCGTATTAAAATATACGAGTTTATACTGTCTCTTGTGCGGAATAAAAATAACTTTTTTTATCGCGGGATAAAAATATCATGTTCCGATCGTATTACGAAAATACAATTACGAAACTAATTATCCGAACAGTGCGCCATTATATCGATGATTTCTTCAAACTGTTGTCCGGTTAAAAAGTATGATTTTATACACGTATTACAGCACTATAGTTTCACAATTAGCTATCCAAATATAAATAAATATAATTTATCAGTGTAAAATCACAATGTTTAACACCCGGATAATTTGAAAAAATCATCTGTCCAGACAATTAGTTTCATATCTGTACATACAAATTTGGGGCCAGAGATGAATAACATGAGCATCGTCTATTTTCAGATGACGCATCTCACATTGTCTCCGTGGAGGCTGTCACTAGTTCTAACATTGATAGCGACATGCGCAATCATAACGGAATCGTCAATGATCAGGGAGAGGAGGCACATTGAGGACTCTAGTCGATCGGGCAAGGAACACACGTCCTACAGCCAGGGCACGAAATCGCCGAGCAGCACGTCGTCCAACAAGATCACCGCGGAACCCGGAAGAAAAGTGTCTCACCATCTGATCGGGGGTCACCTGAAAGTTGATACAAAGCTCCGTGGAGACGGCGAATCGCTGTGGGACGATGGAATTCTCATGTCGGCAGCCGGCAGCGGTAAGGAGGGGAAAAGTAATCGCGGCGGCGACGGTGGTGGCAGCGACGACGAGGACGGGAAAAAAACACTCTCCCAGCAGGTCAAGGAGGGCAAGTACGGTCTCATACAGAACGAGATTTACGGCAATCGCCCGAAACGACCCGGCATCATCAGCTACCTCGACAATCCTGAAGTGCCCAAGGACACGATCGATAATCTGGGTGGCCTCGACGAGGACGAGATCTGGCTGGCCGAGAACCACGTGCTGGTACTGAGGGGTGGGAAATTTCCTGAACATGCACAGGACGGCGGCCAGCAGCAGAGCGGCGATGGCGAGCAGCCAAAATGGCCGCCTATCGATGATTACAAGGCGCCCAAACGGCAGGTCAAGATACCACCGAGGCCGAAGGTACCGCCACCCTTTCCGGTACAACTCACGGAGGGGGGACCGGTACAGATCATTGGTCCAAATGGCACCGTGGAGGAGATCAGCAACGGCACCTTCGACTACAACACTCTTTACACAAAGGGATTATTACCAGGAGAGGATCCGTTCTTCTCAATCGCTCCGAACGGCACGGTATTCACCCCAGATTTCGGTCTCCCGGGAAACTTCTCCGTCGAGGAGAAATCGTTTAGGGGTAAAAATGATCAGAAGGGAATAAAACCGGAACTTCCTCATCCGCCGCCTGGCGCTCTTCCGCCTTTCTATCACGCCATACCGCCTGGTGCGATATTCGTGCCACCACCAGGTAACCAATCGGATTATGATGAGGAGGATCAATCCATCTACTATCCGCCACCATACAGTTTCTATTATCCGCAAGATAATACGACAGCTGTGCCGCCGGGCCCCTTGGTGCCCGGCATCATACTGCCTCCGCCGCCGGATTTCTTCTCTGCTCTGGACGACAAGAAAACTACCACAAAGAAATACACAAAGAGACCGACGACCACATCCTCGCCGGAAACACGTCCAACGTATTTGCCACCGAGGAAATTTACGACTAAACAGAACAAGGCGTCGTCCATTCCGCCGAGTTTGGTAACCAAGACAAGTACTACTTTATCGACTTCCACAAAGGTATCCTTCGGTCGTACAACGGTAAAGAATGCGACAAACACATTTAAATCTAAGAAGATTACGTCTAATGTGGATGTCACAACGTCGACGCCTGGGAAACCGCATACTCTCGAAAATACCGAGATATATACTATCAGCCCCGTAATCGGAAATCAGGTATCCGAGGCGACGACCCAGCAGAAAGACTGGTCCACTCTGGTCACGAGCAAGATCCCGGTTCTCGCGTATTACCCGTCGACCACGCAGTCGTCGCTGGAGCGACCGGTGGAAGTCACCCCGGCTTCCATAAAGACCATTATCACCACTAGTCAGCCCGATCGATCTGCCAGCCATGCATCCTATTACTTCTATGAGGAATCGACCGATGAGAATTCGGACGTCACGGAGAAACCGTCGCCAGTTTATTATGAAAGCACGACGAAATCGCCGTACTACAATGTCGAAACGTCGCGATCTGAGCAGAAGAAGAACTATTATGAGACGATCCCGCCGGTTGAGACTTCTAAAGATTACAAGGTGAAGCTCATTGATAACATCGTGAAGAATTCGCAGACGTACCAGTACACTGACAATTCGGAGACCACGTCAACGAAATTCGACACCAGCTCGTCTCGGGATCAGGGTCAACGTATGTTAGCCGATCAAGCGCCCATTTACTATCAGCCTGTTCCTGCACGTCCGGTGCAGACGTATTACACGACTCCCAAGCCACAAACGTACTATCGACAGACAACGAAGCCTAAACCGGTCTATCAGTACAGCTTTCAGATAGCGGATTACTCAAAACTCGGTAATCAGAGATCGCCGTATCATAGGGAGCAACAGCAGCAACAGCAGCAGCAAGATTCAGTATACAGCGAGTATCAGGACATCAAGACTGGTAATCAGCAATACGACTACGAAGACATCGATTCCCCGTCGCGACATCAATCACGGAAACAAGTATACAAGACGCAACATCCGGTTTATTCCACGAGCACGTCCTATCCGATCGTAGATACGACACCCAATCCGCAATACGCGTATTTCACGCAGCAGGACGAGAAGCTATTGGACGATGTTACGAAAGAGTATTTCACGATCTTTGGTAAGAAATTACCGGACACGCGGATATCGACCACGACTCCGATCTATGGGAAATCGAGCAGCGTCACGGAGAAACCTGATCATAATACGAATGTCTACGTGCCGAATGTTTACAAGACCGGTCGACCGGTAACTTACAACACGCTCAACGTCAAAGTGCGATATGGAGATCAGTCGCAGCGACCCTATTCCCTCAAGGACGACACTCTCGTCAACTATCGACGGCCCTTGCCGCCGATTAATCCGGACAGCGAGTTCGTCGAGATAATTGATCCTAAACATCGGCCGAAGCAGCCGTCGCAGTTACCGAACTACGAGTTGCAAACGGGAAACTATCGATTGCAAAATCAGGGAGTACAACAGCCGACCCCTCGTTACAGGTTGCGAGGCACGATACAGCCGGCTAACAGACACACCAACAATTTCGTGCCTTTCTCCGAGTCTCGGGAGGAGCTGGAGAACGTTCAGGAACCCGTGTCACTGTTGGACGACATAGAGGTCAACTACAGGAATCCGCATCCCCCCATAAATCCCGATGCCGAATTCATCGATCCCATCACGGTGCAGGACAATCACTCGAATAACCCGAACGCGTATTTCGCGTATAGACTACCCGGCGATGTTGGCCACTTTTACTTCCTGACGCCGCAGGCGATCACGCAACGACAGGACCAGAATAGTGGATATGTCTATCCGAAGCCCAGGGGGCCGAGATTACGAAGGCGACCGGGATAACGTGAATGCGTGTATCCAACGGCAGTCGCGCGCAATGCCATAATCTCGCGGATGTCCAGCGCGCGAAGTGATCGTGCATCGCCTGCGTGCGTGTCGGCCGCACACATACATACGCGTATTATTAATATATTTATTGTACTTGTAAATACGAATTGATTAAGTTAGATAATTATAGCTACGTTGTTTTACGATAAACGCGTAATTTATTATGCAACCTGACTCCCCCGTTTTATAATAATAGATGTGCGATCGTATTCGCGTATGCGATTTGTAGTATGCGCCTTCGTTATCGCATATTTGCACATTATCTGTGATTAATGGGATACGTGTACATATAACATAATTACTTATTGTCTATTTTATGTACGCGCTTTGACAGATTGTAGCGTTCTTTCCCGAATCTTTTTTCTAAGTTTTTCTCTATATGCAGAATGTGAAGTTGAATAAAACGTAAAATATATATGAAACAACAAATATTGATGCAAGCCTCTCTGTCTGCTGTAAACTGAGTTTTAAATATTTTATACAGATTAATGTAATGGCCTTTCCTAATGCTATTAATGATTTATATGTCTATCTTTTTTCCGTCAATTAAATGTAATTGACATTATTTGTAATTTTTCGTATATATAACATTTTTCAAATAATATTGTACAAATATACCAACAAAGATCACATAATATATTTAGTTGCAATGTAATCAACTTAATTGAAGCATTTTATAAATATATGTTTCTTTAAATAAGTCGTAACATTTGAACAGCCAGTACTTGCAGTACTATGAGCGCATTCCACCTACCCACTTAAAAATTAAATTAAATTTAAATTTTGTGACATAATCTGCATGGTATTTAATTGGATTCAGATTAAAAATTTATAAAAGATATACTATGCACATGGCTGTTCAAAAGGTATTTTGATAAATAGTACTCACCAGTGTCGATTTCTTGCGTTTGCGCTGGATCTGGCAAAGGATAATCATGTAGTCGCAAATAAACCTCCATTGCACATTTCGCTGCTTTGAAATAGAATGGGTGAGCTCGGAGAACGTCTTCTAGCCTTAGAAGACCCACGTAAGATCGCAACGTCATTTTCCGCATACAATATGTATGAAAGTCGAATTGGTCCTCTATGATTTCCGAAAAATGCTGCAAATAATCATGGTACAAGAGATATAACGTATACATCTTAAGTTGAATACACACGCGCGTACACATACAATATATATTACAATAGTATAATATACTACTACCTACCCTATCAACTTCGTGACATTTTTTCAATGCTTCTCCATATTTTCCAAGACGTTTATATGCGTTGGCTGCTTCTGTTTGAATCCACATGCACTGCATTTCATTCAAGTTTTCCATAGCTAAAACTCCTTCCCTCGTAAATTTCCCACACGTCTCCTCTGCCTCTTTAATAAGATTCGCACGGAGCATGTACTTGGCACATTTAGAGTTAATATATCGGTCAGCTGTGTCTAATCCCTGCGCCTCATCCAGCCACTTATAAGCTTCTTGAACATTACCCGCGTGCTATTAACATTTGAAATTCTATTTAGGCCACATATATCTTCCACATTATTCTTTAGAATAAATATTTGTGTACTGGTTATGCGAGATGTCAAATAGCACACTGCTACATTGATAAGCAGTTGCTTATCAAGTCAAAAATCCAGGTTTGAATCTCGTATGTGTGATTTTTCACCTCACATATATAATACTAAGAATTTTGAATGGAAAAATATTTCACTCAATACAAACAAATATCCGAAATATAAATTTAATTCAAAATTATTATGGATAAGTAATAATAATAGAATAGCAATATTATGTTATCTCTTGAAGAAATTTGCAAATGGCACACAATAACAAAAATTTTTTTAATAAACTTAATCCTCATAATCCTTTTAAAAATTTCTATTATAATAAAGAGAATACTATGGTTCTTCAAGACTTGTAACGCTACAAAGTAATAATACTGCATTTACATAAATATGTACGATCTTACCTTATAAATGCGTCCTTTGGTAACAAAAAGTTCTATAAGCGTAGGAGTATGATCTATGGCAGCGTCAATCTCAATCAATGCCTTTTCCGTTTGACCGAGATAATCGTAATGTTGCGCTAGGTAATAATAAGTCCATAACAACGCGGATGCTGGTTCTCGTGGATTATCTTTTTCTTGATCGCTAAAGTGGTCATGAAGTTTTAATGCCTCCTTGTATTGCACAAGTAGAGATGATATGATTTCGACCTTTTCCTTATCAGTGTATAATGAACGAAGATTCACAAATAACGGTGGTACACCTTTGTGAAGCCCTAGAAAGAAATATAAATCCAATTAAATACATGAAATTATAAAAATATAATTTAAACAAATAAATGCATGTGCAAAGAAATTCTTTATAAAAAATTTACCTTTTCGTAAATATCGATCAACTAAGACTTTAAATTCATCTCCTGTCGCATAATTGAGTTGCAAACGGCGCGGTGCTAATGCTCGAGGAAAGAGTTCTTCGTATCTTTGGAGCATTTGCAACGTTTCGCTTGGTGAAGAGTGTCTTTCAGCCTCTGCTAGCCTAGTGTAATACGTTGTGTTTTCCGGATTAATATCTAATAGTTCCTTGTAAACTTGTTCTGCTTCTGCATACTGTTTCAGTTGAAGTCTTAGTTTACCTAGAGAGTAATTCAAGAAATATTAAAGAAATATTCAAGTGCTAAAAGTGCAATTTGAATAACCATGTTACATACTTACCATAAGTTTCTTTGACAGTAACCTTGTCACAAATTTGATCACTATACTTGTCTAAATGTTTTAACGCCTGTTCACATTCTCCTGATTCCTGGATGACCATATTTTGATATAACAACAACTCACTATGTTCATAATCATAACAAATCTGTGGATATAATAAATTTTTATTATACAATATTTTTATTTCTATATCAAGGATCTTTATGTATAAATAACGTACCATTGGAGAATTTCGAAAAGTATCTAAAATTTTCAATGCCATCTCATAATCTCTCAACAAATGATATGAAATAGCAAATCCGATCCAAGAAGCTCGTTGAGTAGGACGTAACATAAACAACTGATATCTGGTATCCTATGAAAAATCAATATATATTCGTAAATATATATTCGTAAATACATAATCAAAATATAATGTAGCTTTAAAATATGATGAATATGTGTGACAAAGTAAGAACTTGCAATAAATGCTAAATATGTACCTTATAACCTTCCAGATCCCGCATCTGGATTTGTAGCAACGACAAATCTCTAAGGATTTGAATATTATCTTTGTCCCACTTGAGCGCGTTTCTGTAACACTTGATAGCCTCATCGTACTTCTTGTCGGAACGCTGTAGAAGACCGTAAACATGCCAGCAAACATGGGACTGTAGGTCATTCCTGAGGCCACGGCGAACATGATCGTAGGCTTCTTCCTTACGGCCCAGACAGTTGAGAGTGAGACCCTTCATCGCCAAGGTCTCCCCATGTTCACTAAACTTGGGATTTGACAGGATCTGTTTTGCAAACTTCAGCCCATTTTTGTATTGTTTGTGTTCGTAGCATCTCTGCAAGAGAACATACACCATGAAGATGCATTTGTAAGCATTTGTAGGGTTAGATAGGAGGGGGGGTTTGATGGGTTTTGTCTTGTATTCGCGCGAGGATCGACGGCGCCGATCGTTACGGAGTGTCGCCGAGCGAGACGGGTTTTCATGTATAATGTCAAGCAAGCGGCTGCGTCACGCAGTCGCCAGTGACCTTTTGCCGTTTTACTCCCCCGAGGAAATGCTTTATCATTAGAGAACGGCAAATGCACTCTGCTTGCCGGAGAGTGGGGTCCAAAACAGAGTATTTTGATCAGCCGTTACTCACCAGGATCCGCTTGAACAGAGCATTTTCTTTGGGTGGCAACGGGTTGCTGGAGGGCATTTTTGTATAACTACAAAAATAGGGGGCCTTTTCCACCCGGTAAACTCAATTTTTACCACAAAACCTCGTGGCCACAAACGAAGAAGTCGATCCTTGATCACGTGATCATCCGCGACAATGCTGTTCCGCCGGAAGCGTTGCTGCCACGGTGCCGCACGGTTCAACTGGCCGAACTGGCGGTAACGCACTAATCGATCCTCAATCGAGTTCGAGAAGATTGTTTCCTTCAAATGCATATCCGTGTGTCGATAAATACACATTAAAAACAAATACTTTTCGGGCTCTATAACAATTCTATAACAATCCACTAAAAGTTCACTAAAGATTCATTATTAAGTCTGATTTCACAATATATGATTATCCAAAGATTAAAGATAACCAAAAAATTTATGAATGAATTTTATTGATGAATCTGTTGGTATCCTTTAATCTTTAGATAATCATATATTGTAAAAATGGATCTTAAGCCTTAAACACAATGCGAAGGAATAGCGATAGCGATAGGAATAAGACAATTTCAACCTATCAGAAAGTGTATATTCCAATGTATCCGATTTCTGGTAGGTTGAAATCATGTTAAGCTGGAAACACAATAGACACAGGCAATAGGCACAGGCAACAGGG